AATGTAGGAGCTGAAAATCCTTGGCTGAGACTTCCAAGACAGTAATGCCTTTCCCATCTAACTCATGTCTCCCGAGAGAGCACGACAAGTAACAGGGGCAGAGGGAAGAGTTAGACGTATTATGACATCCAAGGCTCATTTTCACCAAACTGCATGTGAACTGACTCACTTTTAACCAAGTAATTTGAATTCATGTTAGCTGTATGTCAAAGCATCTTTAACGTACCTACACCACTAGTGAAGATTGGTATATGAGATATGAAACTGTCTGCTTCCCAGAGCAGGTTAAATAGTATAAACAGCATTAAATGATGCTTAAATTACAGAATTAGGATTAGTCCTTTCCTTCTGGTAAGAATTTAGGAGTCTGACTCCTTATTGCAACAGTGAAAACATAGATACCTCTTCATATAAAAATTAAAGAAAGACAGTTTTATCTAGTGCTCAGATGCCATGGCAATGTACGCTATAAAATAAATCTTTAAAAAGAGACTGAAAGAGGAAGCTAAATATATTGCAGAGATGGGCTCCTTAAAAACAGATTAAATAAAGATATGAAAGGAAGCAACACACATTAAGGACTGGAGAATTTCTTGCATCACTGCCACTGGTTCACGTGATAAATGTACAATCGTCAAAATATACTAATGGTAGAAATTAAAATTGCATGTACAGTACATCAGTTCTGTCCCTTATTCCCATCTTGCCTATTACATTTCTTATTATAGCTGAAAGAATTCATTCAATACAAGTTAATGTGCAAGAAGTAATAGGGATAGATTATTTTTAGCAGTGAACAGTGGTGTATCCAAAATTCTAAAGTAGACTAGGATGACAGTCTCATCTTAGATATTAAAGTTCTTCGGGGCAAGGATCACATAAGATGAGAGAGGACTGGTGAGAAATGGTCTTTTAAACAAACTTTTACTCTTCCAGTCTGCTGTCAGGACTTGTTTCCACTATGGGGTGGATCAATGTTGCAGCAATCAATCCACTAGCAGTTGATTTAGCAAGTCTAGAAAAGACACACTGAATTGATCACCTATCACTCTCCTGTTGATTCTGGTACTCGAGCAGAACGAGATAAGTAAGGGGAATTGACAGTGTTTTTTCTGTCAACCTCCCACAGCATAGACCCATGGTAAATAGATCTAAGCTAGTCTATTTGAGTTACGCTACTGATATAACTCAAATTGTGTCGCTTAAATCAATGTGTTCTTGTAGTATAGATCTGGCCTCAGTTTCACCAATACAAAGTGCTCCTTCAGGAGTTCCTTCCTCAGTGGTGGCAAAATCTAAAAAAAAGACCCCAAAAGAAAACAAACCAACCTCACTAAACTTTAGAAACAGAGATGGGACAGGGAAGTTCTGTTTTCGGGTACATAGTAACTGTAATCACAGCTCTCACAGACACACACATTCATTTTAACAATTAACAGATTCAGAAAGGGAATGGGTGGTTTGTGTGGGGAGTGGCATTAACTATTAGAAAAACAGAAACCAATAAGCTACCAGAGGCAGCCCATACTCCCAGCATGGCCAATGCAATTTTATGTGAAGTATCCGACCTTATAAACAGCCTTTATACATTTAAAAAAAATAATTAACATCATCCCCAGCAACACGCAGAGAGAAAACTATAATAAACTATAACAAAGATGAAAATACTGTACTTTTATCTCCTGGCAAGATAGCTCGGTAAAATCGGTCTCGCTTTTTCTTTTCTTCAGGGTTGGGAGGCAAAGGCTTTGAGCCATGGTTTAAAGTCCCTGTGTCTTTGCTTCCAGATCCAATCATTGTGCTGGTATTTCTCATTGGAGGGGCTGGAGGCTTGTCTTCAGCTTCAACACCATTATTAGACATCTTCAGCAAAAGAAGCTCTTACTAGGACCAAGAAAGAGAGAATATTTTTTGCGCATTTTTTTAATGACAGTTGCAAACTGATCCTTCAAATCAATCAGATTTGCCTTTTAGCTTATGTTGATTACCTAAATAACAAGCTTGCATAAAAATGTTCTTCTGGGAACCAACGTAGTGGACGCCAAAATTCCCATTTACTCACTAGCAATCAGGATTGGCCCTTAAAACACAATTCAATCTGGTCAACATTGTTTTCTCATACAAAGTCAAAGCTTAAAGGTTCTTCCAGCGTTATTGCCCATCATGCACAGTCTTTTCAGCTGAAGAGGATTTCTTTTCATTGAGCTGCTAAAATAAAACTGGATCCTCCACACGCACAGAGCACCTCTTCATATAAATCATCCTTAAAGTGCAGTTTTAAACAAAGAAGCTACTCCATGCAGAATCACCCTTTAGCAGCACAATTGACTCATTCCTCTCCCCAAGTGAGAGCAAAAGCAACCATTATGCAGCCCAACTGCAAATAGAGCTGGTTGGAAAATGCAGAAAAATGTTCATTAAAAATTCAAACAATCTTTGACCAACTCTAGCTATAAAATAAACCAATCTTATTCAAACAGAACAACAATATTACTTCCCAAATTTCACAAACATACATAAAGAGCCCTCCTAAGTGGAGTCCCTTTGCTTGGTAGCAGGTTCTGTCACTAGGAAAAGACCAACTCTAAAAAGTAATAAAATAAAAAACAAAGCTAATTTACAGCTTTCAAATTTTGGATTTGCCCCAGCAGATGAAGGATTCATGCAGGGACACAGACTGAAGCCATGGCTACACTATAGAGCTTATAGCAGTGCCGATGCACGGAGGCACTTGTATTGCTGTAGCACTGCTAATGAAAATGCTCTAAGCACACGAGAGAGCTCTCTGGTACCCCCGCAGAATGAGATAAGTAAGGGGTGTGACAGGAGAGGGCAAACATCCTCATGAGCTTTTCCTGTGTAAAACTTTACACAAAGATGGATTTATTTGGGGGTTTGATCTCTTTTGGTGGCTGGTTTCCTGGATGCTGCGCCCTAGAACTGCATCCTCCCAGAGTTGAAGAAGTTCAGTGTCTGCATTGCTCTGCAGGGGGGCAGTTCTCCCAGCCTTGTCTGGGGGAGACCAAAGACTCTGGGCCAGCAGGACAGAGAGGTGGGGAGCCCCAGAGAGCAAGAAGGTGGGTGTCAGTGGCATGATCAGCACAGTAAGGAACAATTGCAAGGGGACTGCTGGAATCGTACCCCATCACAGCTCCCATAATAGGCTCCAATCCAGAGCCAATGCTTGTAGAAATGGAATTCGTTTAAAGATTCCCATATGAACATCAGGGAATAATTTCTGGCAGCCAGTTGGAGCTTTTCACTTGCCAGGAGGTGTTTTAGCATCTATCTCCTGACTCTCCCATTATTCAGGTCATTGGCCATCAGTCCCATGCCATTCCCCAGTGTGAAAATGAGCAAAAGCAAAAACAAAAGCTGACAGCTAGAGAAGTAAAGACCAGGAGCTGCATAAGAAGTTTGGGGGATTTCTTTTGGCACACACTAAAATGCACCAATAACTTTGACAGCCAATGGTGGGTCAAGATCTGTTTGACATGAAAACACCCGAGACTGCACTTATACTGAGCTGGCTGATGGACAGCAGCATTTCTGGTGCCTATAAAACTAGCAGTTCCTCTGGATCCAACTGAAATAGGCAAAGGAACAAGCACAAGCTGCCATGCAAAGGCACTAGAGAAGTCCCGTGTTCACTGCATTAACACACCTATGAATCAGAAGACGTTACCAAGAGGTTACTGGACAAAGACAGCAGCCAACAGACAGATGGGGCAGTCAATGTCAACAGCTGCTTACTTGCCCAATGTTATTCCTTGAGAGCAACAGTGACTTTTGGCACCGCTGCCCCTCCCACACTCATCCCCGGTCAGTAAGTATTAGGAGGAAATGATCAGGCTTCCCCTACAGTTAAACCTTCTGGCTCCTAGGAACTAGTATCTAGCCAGCCAGGCAAAACTACCTCCCCACTGGCTCCTCTCCTTTGCTGTGCCTTGCTGCAGCACTCTGCCAGAGAACAGCAAGAAAGTAGAGGCAGCCAGCACCAGCAGTCCCCCGCACTCACCCCTCTCCTGCCACACTAGAAGGGATGCAGGACCAGAGGGGTGACCAAAAGAAATGAGAAGGGAAACTGAGGCAGAGAAGATACAGACCACTGAGGGGACCGGCGAGACGGAAACAATGCGGAGAAAGGACCATGTGCTGGCAAGGAGGGAGATTGTGGTGAAGAGAGGGAACCATTTAGATAAAAACAGGGGGAGGATGGGTTTGTGGCTAATGTCTCAGACTAGGAGACATGGTTTTATTTCTAGGTCTGCCACTCATTTGCTGTGCAACTCTGGAGAAGTCACTTCACCTCCATGTGCTTCAGTTTCCTCATCTATAAAATAGAAATAACCCCTCCCCTCAGGCAGATGGAAGCAATTCAAGATTCTCAAATGGAAGGGGCTGCCCCAATGCCAGTTCAGCTATTTTATTAAGTGAGAGGAAACTGGGGTGATCAGTAAATGCTCACTCAGTGTACATGCGCCCTGGGTGAATAGAATTCCCTATAAGAGCTGCATTGTTCACCAGTGAACAACAGTCCCCCACCCCTACTTGAGAACTCCGTTTTGCATCCCTCACCTAGGCAACACATAGTGGATTCCTCCTCTCACTCGAGCCACCCAAACCCTTCCTTGGGATTGCCACACACATCATCTAGGATCGCCATAGTAACATCTACCCTTCTCTTGCTCCAGCAACCAGCATACAGAACGTGTGTGGTCAGCCTCCTTCCTTCCCACAGCATTTGGAGAGGGGAAGGGTGGGGAGAGGAGAGACACTGCAAAGCCACAAAGTGATGATGTTTATTTGAGGATTGAAGGTCCAGTTTCTTCCATGGCTTGTCTGGTAACTTTGGGAAAGCCCCACAAGGTTCCATGTGCATGCACCTCAGGTGGTGTTTTCAAAGAATTTTGCGTGGAGTGTTTACTTGCCTGAAACTGAAGGAAAGCCCACCACATTCTGAGTCCAAAGATTAAAATGCAGACCACTGCCGATAGAACAGAGATTTTCAACGTACACTAATGTCAGCTCAGGCTCTGCAGGATAGGTGGGAGCCTAGAGTGGATTACACCAATTTGTATCTTCTTAGCGTATGCACAACGTGCCTGGGGGTAGGTGATGAGGACTCATCATTGAGTTTGACCCATTGGTTGGATCATTAGCTTCCCTGGCCCGGTCAGGTACTGGCAGGGAGTGTGATATGAATATTGATCCATGCACGAGTTATTCTGAATGCACCAGGAGATGGCATTCTCCCCACCCAAGTGCAGCATCCATGCAAATTATTTTCTTGCCATGACAGTTTGTAACCAACTAATTGCCTTTTCCACCTTATTTACACTCTGCTTGAATTCCAGGAGCACTAAAAGGTACTTGCTTTTAGCAAACCACCACAGTGTTGGGGCTCCATTACCAGAAACTAAGCCACTAAAGAAGCTCTGCTCTAAGCCAATGGTTTTCAAACTTTTTCTTCCTCATGACCCAGTTGGAAGAAAATTGTTGATGCCCACGACCCAACATACTTTGACTAAGTTGTGGCCTCTGGGATGGGTCTAAGGCAGGAGGATCTTACCTTGAGCAGCTGCTGGTCAGCGGTGCAGCAGGCAGCTTCCTGCCTGTCTTGACACCACAGACCATGCTGTGCCCCAGAAGCACCCAGCTGCAAGTTCTCGCCAATGGGAGTGCAGAGCTGGTGCCTAGGTCAGGGGCAATCACAGAGCCCTGTGCGATCTTCTGCTCCCCCGCCCCCACCTAGGTGTCGAGCCTGCTACTGACCATTTTTGGGGTGCAGCACAGTCTGTGATGCCAGGACAGGGAGGTAGCTACCTCAGCCTCCTACTGGTCACCTGATCCCTCTGCAGCAACGAGACCCAGTGCCCGACATTCCCTGACACAGCAGCACTGGGTCACAACCCACAGTTTGAAAACCACTGCTCTAAGCAACCCAAATTGCAAAAGCCGGTCACAGCAACACCAAGCAAACTAATTTCACTTATTTTTCCCCAGTGCTAAGATTGTTCTGTTCCCAGTGGCAGAACACTCCACAAGAATCTGATCTAATGGTTCAACTAGCAAAAATGGAAATGGAATTACCCAGCAAATGAACCTTTCATCTGAAGTCAGATGAGGGATACATCTTAGATACAGACCCAATTTGCTCAAGTCCCATATATTAAAATACCAACACGCAGACCAAATCCCACAGTCACCACTAGAAGGGCATCTCCATTGTCTAACGCGATTGTTTCTGTGGTCTCTGTGGAGCATTAAGAGTCAGAGGAACCGTAAGTTTCCACCACACAGCAGGCCTGAAAATACTATTCTTAGTATATAACACAATGTAAGAAGCTTTTGTCAGCCATGAGTCCAAAACACAGTATCTGCACTCTTGAAATCACATTTTACCTTTTCAAATCAGTTATCAGCCAAAGTTATCCCAGCGGCCCAATACACATTCAGTGAGTGCATTTATGTGTTTTATTCATATGAATAATTATGAGGCAAGAGGTGATCCAAGGGACCAGCTCTCCAACACAGATTTGATATGCTATTCTTCCTAAGAGCAGAGTTTTATCCTTAACAGATGAATAAGAATGGTTTCCAAAAACCCTACATCTAAAATTGCCTAGACAGCTTTGCAATTTCTCCCAGTTTGTGGTTTGGGTCCATATCTGCTTAAAACGAAGTTCATGTCTAGAGAGGAACTTTTCTAAACTTTGTGGGTGTTTTGAGCTGGGAGTTTGGTTTGGGCCTTACTTATAGTTTTAAAACTTATATGTTGTTTGGGTCAGGGTCTATTTCTTATTATGTGGGTCTATAGGGCCTACCACAATGTAGCTCTGACCTTAAATGGAGCCTCTCTCCAATGCATTTCTAATATAAGTAATAGATTGACCCCAATTAAAAACAAAATTAGACCATCTAATAGAAATTCTGCACTAAACATTTATGCTATGCAAATAATGTTTTCCTTTAGAAAGCCGAGTCATTTTAAGTTGATGGTCTCTTCTCACCACAGGACATGAAACTGGATTATATTTTCTTGTAGTATTTTTCTTCAGCAAAACTAATTGCTAAAGAGGAAGCAATTAGGGGAAAAGTCAGTACTATAATGGAAACCTACCCTGAAGTAGATGCCATAAACGTAACTATGTCCACGGCATACTGATTGCTGTCCACATGAAACTCAAAAAAGCCATCTATAATTCATGCAGTCTGGAAAAGACAATAGCTGAGAATAAGTCACTGTAACTTTTAGATTAAATAAACTATATTGAAACAAAATTAGCTCAGCAGTTATTCTCTCAACAAGAACAAAATTTTAATTGCTTCTGAAGCATTGTTTTCCCACTGTTACCATGACTATTGGCCATCTTGACCCGGTTCCAAAGCAAAAAAGTCTTAACTGTTACGCTGATTACAATCAGTCTGAAAACACATTTTACCTCTGTCAACATTCCTGTTATACTCTGATCCACAGCAGTATAACTGAACTGATCCTAGGAGTAGACACACTTTAAAGTCTCCTTCTTCCTTATAAGACCAATTGTTCCTACAACTAAGTGGGGGAGAGGCAGGCAAACATCATACTACTGTGACACATACCGTGCTGGGATGCTATAAGTAGAAGAGATCCCCTCCAGATGCATCATGCCCTTGTCTGAAGAATCCCAATGAATCATCACATGGAGTTTGCTGGCCTGATATCAACACAGAAAGGACACACTCACTTGCTGAGCCATTTTAAATCTTCATTAACAATGCCCAAGCACATCCCTGTGCTGGGGGACAATGAGGTTGCATAGCACCTTTGGAAAAGAAAGCACAGAATGCCTCCTGGGTCTATTCGTCCCTGCGCTTCGTGGGATTCCCTTGTAGCTCTGTGCACTCTCTGCCTTGAGGAATGTCAAAGCAGCACAGCAGTCTCTCCACCCCACCCCCCAGCAGCAGCAGCCTGTCAGCCACTGTGTTCCTAGTGCAGGGTAGAACAGGAGCACTCCAATGATTTGTTCTTTCTTTGTTTTCCCACAGAGCAGCCCACTCAGCTGTCAGATACTTCCCAGAGCTTTAAAAGAGGAGGGATGCATGCCTACAAAGCAGCAGAGATCCTAAAACACTGAGCACGGCCATTAGGGCAGGCATTGTGGGATACTGGCGGAAGCCAGTTCCCTTGACAAAACAAACAGCAGAGTCCATAGTGGCTATTTGTCCACAATAAAGGGGGGGAAAGACAAAATCTCATGCAAGGGTGAAAGTTTTTTGCCATCAAAACTTTTACTTGACAAAAGTCTCATTGCTGTGTAAACACTCACTGTTCTGTCACCAACAGGCAGTTTTGGGCAACAAAACATGCTAACGTAGACAAGGCCTCGGTTTGCAAATGAGCTAATTTCACAGACAGAGACAAGGTTTAGGTATTTTAATGAAAATTCTGGCGAAGTAGAAACCAATGAACTTGTGTCTCATCATCCCTCACCCCTTCCGCCGTTCTAAAAACGGTTAACTCTTTCTACATTACATGTATTTTGTGTGTGTCCCCCTCCCATTAAATTATAACTACTGGTTATAGTTTTGCACCACTCGTTTTATTATTTATATAAGCACTAAAAGATAATTCACCAAATCCCTTGGTAAATTATTGCGAAAGTTGAGTCTCTTTCAATTGGAGTCTTTAAATCATGACAGAATGTCTTTTAAAAACACAGTCTAGTTCAACCACAAGCTATTGGTTTGGATGCAGAAATAACAGGGTGGTTCTATGACCTGTGTTATGCAAGAAGTGAGACTATCACCACAACGATCCCTTCTAGTTTGGATTCTGTAAAACAAGATCCCTGCCTTGAATAGTGCTAGCAAGGGGCTACATAAATTTTCCTTTGCCCCTCCCTCCCCCCCCCCAATAGCTATCCCTCTCTGCACAAAGGTCAAATGTTACTCCAAAGTATGGCTGGAATGGCCTTGTCTATACTAACCCCCACTATCGATATAACCTACGTCAATTCATCTATGCAAATTAAGGATGTTAGTGAGTAATCGACGTGAGTAGTCGACTGAAGTATTAACTACTCGCACCCCCTCCCCTCCACTGCCTCTAAGAGGCAGCAAGGGAGAGGAGGGCAGGAACTGGCTTAAAAGCTGGTTCCCCCCAGCACCAACTCTATTAGAGGCAGTGGGGGGCATACAGGAGAGGTTGCTGTGAAGCAGCCTCTGCCCATGGCCGGCCAAGGCTCGCCATAGGCAGAGGCTACTCCGGCAGCAGCCCCTGTCCACAGGGGTCCCAGCAGAGAGCCAGGCCCTCCCCTGGGGATAGGGCCTACTTGGTGGCAGCAGCCCCTGTGTGGTGGCCTGGGCTGGCCATGCACAAGGGCTGCTGGACTCTGCACGAGCCAGGACCTAGCAGTCCCGGCTTGCTCTGGTCTGGGATGCTGCACCTCTGCATTTTAAACGTAGTAAGACCCCGGCAGCTCTTACTACATAGGCTCAGTCCCAGCTCGAGCTGGCTCCTGGAACTACCCTGCTGCGGCTGGGTAGTACGGTCCCATGCATCGACTACATGATTAGTCAGATAACTGCAATTTAACATCCCTAATGCAAATAGCATAGTTGAAGTCGCCGTATGTACTGCAGCCTCTTACGTGTGGTAAGGTCTGTGGGGGATGCTCTCCTGTCAATGCCGGCTACTCTTCTCATCTCGGTGGAGTACTGGCATAGACAGGAGAGTGCTCAGAGATCAGAGATCAATTTATCACATCTAAGCAAATGCAATAAATCGATGGCCGATGGATCGATCACTGCATCCTCAATCCCTGGCATAGTGGAGACAAGCCCTTACTTCTGCACTGCTGCTGGGGGCAGTGATGACTTCAGAACTGGGTGTCTGGCCAGCAGCCACCGCTCTCCAGCCACTGGGCTCTGAATACTGCTGACATGCAGGGCCAGCCTTCGTAAAAATGGCACCCTGGGTGAAGGGGCAGTGGGAATTCCCCATATAGAACCCTCTCCTCATGATTTGGGAGTGAGGGAGGCAGGAAAATGGAGGGGATGCACGAGTTCCCCCCCCCCCCCCCAAAAAAGTTAAACTTCCAGTTTTTTTTTTAAAATGTGGGTCTAAAGATCTGCATTATCCCCACAATACACTGGGATATTGGAGGATAAAAGTTTCTGTATCCAGATGTGCAATGTTCCTTCCTCCACAGTTTAAAAAAGTAAATCAATTGTACCTGTATGCATTCTCCATATATTGTAAGTGGCTGCTGGGGGCAGGAGGTTGCGGAGGAGTCTTGTGGTTGAGATCGTGGCCAGCTTGCCTTGTGGAGGGTGGCCCATGTTTTTATATTTCAACGGCAATAAGTCTGACCTGGCCCTGGGAGCAGCCAGTGTAGGGTAAGAGGAAATCTCATCCCTCCCCAGCCTGGGCACCTCCAATCCTACTTCTCCCCAGTTCTGAGCCCAGCACTCGGAGGCTAAAGAGGCCTTGTGCTATAGATGTCAGCAGTCAATATGTATTTCTCAGCCCCTAAGTTCCCTCTAAGGTGCATGCCTACGTAAGCGTGCACAAAGAATTCTAATCCTGCCCACCTCCTCACCATGTGGAGCGGCCCTGCCCCACCCTGGAGAAACTGGGAAGCCATCATGTCACCCTGGCCCCAACTTCAGCCCTTCCCCAGGGCTGGAGCTGCAGCCATGGTGTGGCAGCTGCAGGAGCTGGAGGCAGAGCCACAGTGCAGCTGGTCCTGGGGCAGGGGCCACGGGACTAAAACCAACACCACGGCCCAATCCCCAAGAGCAACTGCACCTTGGCCCCAGCTCCAGCAGCTGCCAGCCACACAACCCCCCTGGGGAGCAGCCAGGCGAACTGTCCTCTTGCTCTGAGTCCCTTGCCCCCTTCAGTCCCCTGCCAGTCCCCCGCCCCCGCCACTCTGCACATGTTGCTGCCCCACTCATAGCATCTCATTCCTGCAAACCCTGGGTACTGACAGCAGCTTCCCTTTGCCCCAGGCAGGGACTCACAGCTAGCCCTGTGGGGAGCAGCCTGGGACATCCCCTGCCCTGCACATAGGCTGCCCCGCACACAGGGGAGGGGGGGCAGGTCTCACCTTCTCCTCACAACGTGGGGGGAGCGCTGCCTGGCAGCAGGGCTCAGGGTCCCAGCAAGGGAGAGGGGTTGGAGTCTCTTGGGTGGGAGAGTCTCTCAGAGATCAGCACCACTGGTGGGTACACAGTGGCACATGCCCAAACAAGAGCACATGACCTCAATATTGGTGCACAAGACAAAACTCACACTGCTCGTGGATAAAATCTTAGAGGGAACACTGCTCAGCCCCACAATTTTCTGTCTAGCCCAGTTCAGCCACTCTACATCATGAAGAGGCTGATGCCACCCTATTCATGCCCTTTATGTGCACTGGTATAGTGCACCACATAATCACCTGTCCCTTTAGTAGAGGACTCTATTAATTGTCATATTTTCCCTCCCTCTCCATATATTTTATATTATGTATTTATGGCTTAGGTGCAATCCCTGCTGACTATCCTGGTGTCTATATATATCTAGCCTTTGTAACACTAACCAAAGCCCATTGGATGATTTAGATGTTTCTCAACTCCACTAAATTCTCTTCTTTGAATTAATATAGATACTTATATGGCTTCCATCACAGGATTCAAATATATCTGGTGTTTATGTTCTAAGATCCCAGCAGGATACCTAAAAATTCCTCTAAGGCTGGAGAGATGAGATATCCCTCCATGTGAGAGACAGTCTTTATTTCTCCAGAATGTCATAGACAAGACTGGCCAGAGTGCTTATTCCATTCCAGCCATATCTCCATGTGACACCAGAGGCTCTTTTGCTGTTTCACTACTCTGACCAGATCTACACTCATAGGGAATGTTGAAGAAAGATACACAACACCAGCTATATTAATTATGTACCTGGAGTCGATATGAAACAAGGTACATTTCCCCACCATCCTCACAGTGCAAGACCAACAGGATCAAACACTCCTGTTTGCTTCCCTCACTCCTCACACAAGTAGGAGTACTGGTAGGTTGCAGGGGGCCCTTGAGTTTGACTTAGCAAGTCTTAACGAGACTCGCTAAATCAAACTCTGGAAGATCAGTCGCAGCTGCATCGATCTTCTGTTTAGTGTAGACATGGCTTCTGTGTCGCCAACTCTTAGCCTAATAAAAATTCACCACACCAAACACATTGCTGTCATAGTATTTATTGCTAAAGTATGTTATCACTAAGGTATTGAATGAAAACTAGGGTTCATACCAGTCACCGTAACCATTGTGAGGTATGTATAGGTATCAATTAAAGTTGTAGGTATGTATGAAAAATATGCTTAAGTCACAAAACAAAGTAGGGTGATGAACAAGTTTGTCCCAGACAAAGGAATGATTTTGGTTTGCCTAAGTATTGAGTGTAAATAAAGCAGGATAAGCCACAGACAATGGGAATTGTATTTGCATCTGCAATCAACAGAAAAAGAAAATTAAAGTAGGAAGAAGGAAAAAAAAGACATGGTACCAAAACTTTGGGGAACAAAGAGTGAGGATACTTTTTCAAAGGTTTACTGCACTCTCAGAAAAAGAGGAAAGAGACATTGTGGAATGAAAAGGAAAGCAACTTTTGTACCCATAAATGGCAGATCCACAGTCACGTGGGTAGGTGACACTAAGGGGCAGTAGGTGA